ATTTTGTGAATAAATGTATATATCAAGACTCAAGTATGAAGGCGTTTGAAATCTTACCTCTCAACAAGTTTGTATATGTATCTCTTTGTATATAGTTTCTAATCTTACAATTAAATATAATTCATAGACATACACAGCCCGACCGGGCCTAGTCGACAACCTGCATTGTCATAAAGCAGACCATCTGGGGTCCTGTCTGCACCCCAGCCTCAAAAGGTCATGTTTGCCAGAATCTTTCAATGAACCTTGAATATAGTTTCTCATCTTACAATTTTACAATTAACTTTGTATAGTTTCTCATCTAATTACAATGAACTTTGAATATACTTTTTGATCTTACAATTTTACAATAATAGTTTCTCATGGCAGAGCAGTTCATGCAAGACAAAAGAAAGTCCATGGCTGAGCATGCTGAGGTGAAATATGCTGAACAGTTGAAAAAAACAGATGGAAAAAAAGAAAGAACCGAGGAAAAAAAAAAGAAAAGAAAGGGAAAAAAATAGAAAGAACCAAGGAAAAAAAGATAAAAAATTAAAAATCAAAAAATTGAAACTGAAAAAAAAATTAAAATTAAAAAAAAAATTAAAAAAAAAAATTAAAAAAAAAATTAAAAAAACAAATTAAAAAAAAAAAAAAACTCCCCAAGTTTCCCCCAAGGAGGTATGGAGTTTTGTATGTAGTGTCAATGGCCGACTGTGCTCAGATGTTGTTTTTGGTTTCATTTTTCAGACAGCGGTCATGCAGTCCTCGGCCCCATTCAGGAAAGAGTTTGAACAGCGCGTGGAAAACGAAGTTCAGAACGATTCGACCAAATCGTTCCCGAAGTTTGATGCGATCGTCCATAACTACAACATTTGTCAGAAACAGTGGACAGAAAGTTCAGCCCAATCGGTGGATGTTGTAGGACCGCAAATGCCGTCGGTAATGCTTGCGTCATCTGGCCACGAAGACTTTGATTTCGATGCGTTCCTGGCGGAGGTCCCGGAAGACGATTGGCCAGACGCTCTAGAATTCTTTGCTGCAACAGCGGGCAGGTGTTGGCAGTGCAAATCGACAGGGCATTACCTCCGGGACTGCCCTCAACGCTCCGGCAAGGCGCACACGTCTAGTTTTTCTCGCAGGTCCGGCGGAGCTCAACAGCAAAGCGACTCTCAGCGACAACTTGCGACTTTTGTCGGCTCCTTGTACACGCAGCAAGGAGGCAACTCGTCATCAGGACGCTCGCAAGCCCCCCCCCATGTCTCAGTTCCAATCGCAGGCAAAGAGAATGGCCGATTTTTACCGACCCCGATACCAACAATCACAGAACCGTCAACCTCCAGCACCATCGCAGCAGCAACAACAACAAAAGGGGGGGGCATCGGCGCAAGTTATGGAAATTGGTGAGGTCCCAGACGATCTGGATGACCTGGATTTCCGTGCGATGTCGTTGGGGGAGGATATTGTAAGTCCTATTGTCATTTTTGATACGGGGGCTTCCCATCATTTCTCTGGCTCGCGTTTCCTCTTGCACAATTTCCGTACTCTCTCTAAACCGTTGCCCCTCTCGGTAGCTACCGCCGCCAACCAATCCTTTATTACCGGAGTCGGGAACTTAAAATTCCAAGTGAATAATGGGTCTATCATTATCATAAAAGGGGTGCTTTTCTGTGAGCAAGCCAGATCGAATTTAATTTCTATGGCGGCGCTCAGGAAATCTAATGCTTCTGTTCTGTATGACAATGACAGGGATGCGTTCGAGATTTTCAACAGTGCGGGCAATCATGCTTTTAGTTGTACTCTTGACAAGTCAAAGAACCGGTGGTGCCTGCCTTATAATTTCTTGCGGAGTGATACACAAATGTCGTGTGAAAATTTTTCTGCTTTCTTTTCTTCCACTTCTAAAAAATCTCACTCTTCTACCCATTCAATTCCTATTGCTTCTCCCTCTCGTCATGTTTTCTCTTCATCTTCTCATACTTCTGATGGCTCCTCGGCAAATATGCCCACACCTTTAACGTCACCTGTGACTGCTTCTCCTATTATGAATGCTGCGACCGCAAAGTTCAGTAATGAAAATTTTTTCAAAACACCTATTGCAAAAGTTGACAATTTCCAGTGGAGACCTGAAAGCCTCACGAAGGACGAAAAACAGCTGTTATTCTGGCATAGAGTTTTTGGTCATGCAGGGCTGCGAGCGCTTAGGAAACTGATCAAGGAGAATCTGGGAGAGGGCTTACCCAAATCACTCCCACATGGCTCTATCCACTGCCCAGTTTGTGCAATCAGCAAAAGTACAGCCCTGAACACACTCAACTCGACGAAAAGGGATATCAAAAGAATGGAGATCTTGGCGGTGGATCTCATTGGCCCTTTCGAGGTGGAGGCAGTCGATGGCAGCAAATATCTGCTTACGCTAAGGGATGCGGCAACAGGTTACTGTTTTGTGAAACCAATCAAGGCAAAGTCAGATTCAAACAAGGTCATTATGGACACAATTACGCGTCTTGAACGGATCACCTCGAATAAAGTTCTACTGCTGCGAAGCGACAATGGCGGTGAATTCATCAACAAGGCGCTTGGCGAATTTCTTACCTCGAAGGGTATAGGTACGGAGAGGGCACTCCCCTATCATCACTATCAAAATGGGATGATTGAAAGATTCAATCGAACTGTTCAGGCTATGGGCAGAACTGTACTAATTGATAGTTCTCTCCCAAAGACCTTTTGGTGCTATGCTTTCCAGTGGGCCGGACATATCCTGAACCGGCTGCCTAACAAGGCTAGTGGCAAACTCACACCATATGAAGCTCTCTTTCAAGTCCGACCACATTTTGACTGTTTTAGGGCTTTCGGAAGTTACGCATATGTGCACATACCAGTGGAAAACCGACTGAAACTGGATACGAGAGCACTCCAAGGACAAGTCGTGGCCCATTTGGAGACCAGCAAGGGATGGATGTTCTGGATTCCCTCTGAAAATCGTTTTGTGAACTCAGCACTGGTGACTTTTGTCGACGCGGACCACTCACATTTTACAAAGATTGGAAAAGTAGGCGACGATCTTGATATCAACACTCAATCGCCACCGAAGGAGGAGAATCATATTGACCCTGGTCTGGTGCAAGAGGCCCCACGCCTGAGTGTGGACTTTGTTATGAATATGATGCAACTTGGTGATTTCACCAGAGAAATTGAATTCCATGACCAAGAACTGATTGTTGACAAGATCTTAGAGCTATGTCAGTTTTACGCTATTTCTGTTCCTAAGACTTTCAAACAGGCAATGAATTCACCCGAAAAGAATGCGTGGTCCAAGGCAATCTCCGTGGAACTGAACAATTTGGAGCAGATGAGGGTGTGGCTTGTCCGCCTGATGCCTGCGGATAAGAAGGCGCTGAATGGTCGATGGGTGTTTGAGACTAAACCTGATGTTGACGGCACAGGAGTCAGGTTCAAGGCCCGGTTTGTAGCTAAAGGTTTCACACAGGTATCAGGGGTAGATTTCAATGAAACTTTTGCGCCTACGGCTACTTTTGTGGCACTCCGTGTTCTGCTGAGCATAGCAGCTGCTAATAAGTGGCCAGTACACAGTTTTGATTTTGTAGCAGCTTATCTCAACTCACCAATAGACGAAGAGGTTTGGGTTAAACCACCCGAAGGACTCGAGGTCCCTCCTGGCCATGCCTTGCTCCTGCAGAAGGCTCTCTATGGAACGCGACAGGCCGCGAGATGTTGGTGGTTACATCTGAGGGACGTGCTAAACAAGCTAGGCTATATCCCATCACAGTACGATAACAGCCTCTACATCCTGCGACATCCAACAGAACATGGTGTGATCTGGCTCCACGTGGACGACGGGGTTGTGACAGCTTCGACTGAGGCACTGCTTGAGAAGTTGGAAATGGACCTAAAAGACATCCTGAAGATCAAGTGGTCCTCGTCTCTTGACTCAATTGTAGGTTTAAATGTGGTACGAACTGACAAAGGTTTTCAACTTTACCAAAAGGAGTTGATTAATGGGATTTTAGAAGCGGAGTGGGATGGAGTATCAACAGCCAAAACACCTTTACCTACTAACTTCAATGCACTTACTGACCCAGATGGAGATCCAAATATGACCGGGAAGTTTTTATCTGTGATAGGTTCGCTCAGCTATCTGGCGGTGGGAACTAGGCCGGACATCTGTCATGCTGTGAACCTCCTTGCGCGTTTTGCGGCGAAACCCGGGGAAGTGCATTGGAAAGGTCTCCGGCATCTCATCAATTACATTGCAGGGACGAGGGATCTGAAACTTTCAATCTTTCCAAGACTCGACGACAGACCATTGAAGACATACTGTGACGCGTCATGGGGTGGGGAGTTTGCTAGATCAGCTTATGGTGTTTTCATTACAGTTTTCAATTGTCCGGTTCTCTGGGTGGCTAGGCGACAGCAATCAGTGGCATCTTCTACTTGCCATGCGGAATACATGGCTCTAGGAGTAGCAACCAGACAGACTCTGTGGGTAAGGCACTTACTCAAAGATGTTTTGAGATTGGATTTTGTTGGTCATTTGCATTGCGACAATCAGTCAACTGTTCGGGTGGCTACGGATGATGCTTCTAATAAGCGGACAAGGCACTCAGACAGGGACTTCTATATTACTAATGAAGCTCTCTTTCAGAAAAAGACGACCCTATCCTGGGTGGGGACAAGAGATCAGATAGCGGATGTGTTCACAAAATGTCTGTCGCCGGACCTTTTTCATGGTCTGCGGGATAAGATTATGGGATGAATTTTCCAATGTGGATTATATTTTTTTTTCCATTTTGATTTAGGCTTCTTTTCTTTCTGTTTTGTTTTCTTTTTTTACCAAGTTGATTGTATGTAGTAGGGCGTCTGCGGCGAGAGGGGGGGTGTTGTAACCTGGGGGTTACACGCCTCTGACTTGCCGCAGCACGGCATCTAGCGAGGACTCGGAAGTACCTTCCGAGTCAGATCTCTCCCTCTACCTTACGGAATTATAGACTATTGAGCCTCATGCCACAATAGTTTGGAGGGGAATACCGGCGTCGATCGATAATATTACTAAGAGAGTACACACACAAAACAAGGAGGCAGACACGGTTAGACTTGCTGCAAAACAATACATTAATCAAGAGAGATAACTTACCGGTGTAGAGCTCGGAGGAGCGGGCGGAGGTACTGTGACGAGACGACAAGGACATTGAGGAATTTTGGCCTCGATCAAATAGGGACTAGTAGGAAGGTTGCAGCTAGAGAAACGAAGGAGCAGTTAGTTTTGCTGCAGAAAGCTATATGGAAGACAAGAGAAGAGCGACTTACCGGTACACAGCTCGGCAAACGGTCGGTGAGGGCGTTGAAACAAAGAGCTTGGCGGATGCGATGGAGGCGTGGTTGCAAGCCGGCGAGGACGTTGGCGGGGATCTTGGCATCGATCGAGCACTACTACTACCCAAGGACGGCACAACAGAAGACAACAGCATTTGGCTCGGCTGCAACAAACCAGCGGCGGTTAATTTGGCGGCACAAAGCTACATGCAAGGCGAGGAAAGAGCGACTTACCGGTACAGATGTTCGGCGGATCCGATGGAAGTACCGTCGACAGCGGCGAGGACGTTGGTGGGGATCTCGGCACTGATCGATCGCTACTACTAGCCAGGACAGCACAACAGAAGAAAATGGTAGTTAGCCTGACTGCAGCATGTAGGATGATGTAAAATAGAAAGCTTACCGGTTAATGAGCTCGGCGGATCCGATGGAGGTACCGCGGCGAGCTGGCGAGGCGTTGGAGTTGACTTGACATCGGTTGTCGGAGTCCGGAAGGACGGGGAGTACATACAGGCACCCAATGACCTGTCGGTTTTTTTGTGTGACCGGGCGGAGCGAGTGTCACCAATTTTGTGACACTGCACAGGCTGTTGAACCGCAGCAGAACTTTTTGGACAACCAAGTCAGCCACCACAAAAGCATCAGCCCTACCCATCACAACAGAAGAGAAATTTCATATTGGAGCATGAAAGAAAAAAAAAAGAGATGAACAGCATTCCAAAAAAAAAAAAAAAAGAAAAAAAAAAAAAGGAGGGACTGGGAGTCAAGGTCCTGTATGACCTTAAACTGCAACTTTAAGACTGAAAGAGGTCCTGTATGACCTTAAACTGCAAATTTAAAACTGAAAGAGGTCCTGTATGACCTTAAACTGCAAAACTTCAAGACAAATCTAGGTCCTGTATGACCTTAAACTGCAAACTTAAAGCTAAAAGAGGTCCTGTATGACCTTAAACTGCAAACCAAACTAGGAAGAGGTCCTGTATGACCTTAAACTACAAACTTTAAACAAAAAA